GACATTTTGGCTACAACATCAAAGGCATGATCCATGAAAGAACTGATAAGTTGAACTTGATTAAAATTAAATACTTCTGCTTCAATACTGAAGAAAATGAGAAGACAGAGCCACAAGCTGGGAGAAAATATTTCCAAAACACACATCTGATAAAGGACTTAACCATAATATAAGATATTCCTAAAACTCAACAATAAGAAAATGACCAACTCCATTCAAAAATTGGCAAAAGTGGGGTGCCTGGGTGGCTCAGTCAGTTAAGCATCCGATTTCAGCTCAGTTCATGATCTCGCGGCTCTTGAGTTTGAGTCCCATATCAGGCTCTGTGCTGACAGCTCAGATACTGGAGCTGCTTCAGATTCTGTGTCTCTCTCTCTCTGACCTTCCTCCCCAGTTGCTCTCTGTCTCTCTCTCAAAATAAATAAACGTTAAAAAAGGGGGGGGGGGATCAAAAGATCTGAACAGCCATTTCACCAAAGAAGATAGGAAATAAGCATATGAAAGTATGCTCAACATCATGTCATTAGGGAAATACAAATTAAAATAAAAACGAGAGTACCACTGCATGCCATTAGAATTCTAGGGGAAAATCCAAAATACCAACACCACCAAATGCTGGTAAAGATACACAGCAACAGGAACTCTCCTTCATTGCTGGTAGGAATGCAAACTGGTACAGCTGCTTTGGAAGATAGTGGGAGTTTTGTTTTGTTTTTTTTACAAAACTAAACAAACTCTTACCATGTGATCCAGCAGTCATGTTTCTTGTTTATCCAAATGAGTTGGAATACGTAGGTCCACACAAAAACCTACACGTGGTTGTTTTAGAACGGCTTTATTTGTAATTGCCAAAACTTGGAAGGAACTAAGTTCCTTCCTTCAGTAGGTGATGGATAACTAAACCGTAGTATAGCCAAACTGTAGAAATTATTCAGTGGTAAAAAGAAATGAGCTTTTAAGCCAGTGAAAATGGAGGAGGTTTAAATGCCTGTTACTAAGTAAAAGAAACCAATCTGAAAAAGACATACTGTATGATCCCAACTATATGACATTCTGGAAAAGGTAAAACTATGAAGACAGTAAAACAATCAGTGGTGGCCAGGGATTGGGTGGTGGGCAGGGATAAATAGGCACAGTACGGGATTTTTAGGCCAGTGAAAATCTGATGATACTGTAACAGTGGATACATGTCATTGTATATTTTTCAAAACCAGTAGAATTTACAACACCAAGAGTGAACGCTAGTATAAAACTAAGGACTTTGGGTGATGATGATGTATCACTGTAGGTTCATCAGTTGTGACAAATGTAGCACTCTGGTGGTATATTGATAGTGGGGAAGGCCATTCTTTTGTGGGGACAGGAGGTATATGGGAACTGTCTGTATCTTATGCTCAGTTTGCAGTGAACCTAACATGAGTCTAAAAAGGGTTAGAAACAAAAAAAAGCATCATCTTTTTTTCCTTAACTGCATCTATATGATTTACCTAATTAGAAAAAAAGGCATGCCTCAATTAGATTTATATTGACTGTCATCCAGACTGGCCAGGGTATGTCTTTTGTTTACGTTACTGATGACGTTGTCAACTGCTTATAAAGACGGATCACCATCGAAAGAGTGATCTGTCTAGAACTAGAAAGAAACTCTGAGGGTCTTTGTGTGGTGGCTGCATCCTCAAAGAGTTGGCTTTGTTAGCTTTTCCATCTGTTTGGGTCTGGGGAAGTACTGGAGAGAATTTATACCAGAAAAGACTGACTCCCGTACTTCAGAGAGGAATTTATAATCAGAAAATGATGGTTTATCTGACCACAGGCATTTGGGGGGAGGTTTCCTTACTGTGGGCATAGAATTTCTCTGTCTTCATAATTCAGATGTAACGATCAGAGGGGGACTTGCCTAACTCTACCATTCATAGGTGCATTTTTCCGCATTTAGACCATCGAGAGGACAGCGTAAGTAAATACATAACAATTTCATGAGTGACCTGAAAGGGCAGTAGTTCTGTTTAAGTCAAGGCGGAGGGCAAGGGAGAGGCTTACTCTGGTTGGAGTTTAGTGAAAGTGTCTCTGTATAATTGAGATGCAGACTGACACTGGAGGAGGAGGAGTATGGGGCAGGACGTTCGTTGATGGAGGTGGAAGTGAAGAATGACACCAGTGGCCAGTTTAGAAATAATAGCAGTGTGTTTGTCGGAGGGATGAAGGCATTTACAATACCAACACTCAGATGGAGCCATTAGCTAAGATTCAGACAGAGGAGGAATACATTTGATGTTTCGAGCGGTGGAGTTACTGTCCTGGGAAATATTTCATTTTAGGTGTATGGGTGTATGTACGTTTGCAGGCAGAGGTGATCATTCAGAAATGGAATCCAGACAAGAAATTGGTTACTTTCAATTTAGGGACAGCAACAGAAAAAATGTGGAGCAGTTGAAGAAATGCATGAGCCTACCAGGACATGGTATAAAAGGTGAGCAGGAGCTCACGTGAAGTCTCGAGACATTCCGACAGGATTGAGGAATTCTTTGCAGAGGACATGCGAGAAGGACCGATTGTAGAGGAGACTTAAAGTGTCAGGTAACGGCAGCAGGATGTTCAGAAAAGGAGGTCAGGGTTTAACTCCTCCTCATTTCCATGTAAGGATTTATTTATGGAGACAGTGATAGTAACAACGTGTACTTACAAAGTAATCATTGGTGGTCTTTGTAAGTCAGAGGGAGGGGACGACGTGAGTGAGGGACACCAGCACTTCCGGTTCGGCTCTGAAGGGAGGATGGAAGGCCAGGGGCTGGAGAGAAAATCCGTCCAGAGGAGATTTTGGCTTCAAGTTACGAGAGAGATCATGAGCGTCAGTGAGGAGATAGGTGATTGTGGAGAGATGGACATGTTTTGGGGAAAGGAGACTTCATAATATAGTTGTGAACAAAACAGGAGAAAGGAATTCAGTTGGGCACGCTGGACTTAGAGGCAACAGGACTTCAATTCGATGGAAAGAAATAACCAGTGGACACGAATGTAGGACTTGTGGGGAAAACTGAGGCAGAATGTCACTGTATGTAAATTCATCTCTATTACAGGTTGAATTTTGTGTTCCCAAAAGTCAAACGTGGAGGTCCCAACCCTAAGAATGTATTTGGAGATTGGGCCTCGCAAGTGGTAACTAAGGGAAAATGAGGTCGGTGGGGCGGGCTCGGAGTCTGTTTGACTGGTGTCTTTGCAAGAAGAGGGACTGACGTCACCGATGTGTGCCAAGCAAGAGTGTGGAGACACAGGGAGAGGACGGCTGTGGGCACGCCGGGTGGGGAGGCCTTGGTCTCGTGCAGCGGCCAGATTCACGAGAAAATACACTTCTGTTGTTTAAGCCCCTCGGTTGGCGGTACCGTGTTACAGCAGCCTGAGCAAACGAACACAGTATTGTAGTAGGGAAGAGTCCTGTCTTTTGAAAGGGGAGAACGTGTAGATTGAAGAGCCTGCAGATCTGAAGTATTTAGGGAGCGTGGAAGAATGATTCACTTCTCCAAGGTAGAGATGCCAGACACATTTGAAAAGCCCTAGGAGTGGTGGTGCTGGTGTTAGGCGGGGATCGGCTTCTTTGCCACGTGGGTCACGTTTGGCCACAGAAAAGGCAGGCGCACGGAAGTCACCTGCTGCCGGTTCCCGCGCACAGAGACCTGAGTGTGGGGTGTGTTTCTTGGAAAAGTAGGAAGAGGACGTTGTAGTAACGGCGGAGGGCTTCTCCTTAAGTCAGAACCGACATGATTTTCCAGGTTAAACCCAGGCATGGGGTGTGATTCTTAAGGAATTTGAGCATGGGAGACAGGCAGAGCAAGATTAAAATACAGAAAGTGTTTCGAACCTCTTCTCGTCAGGTCTTTTGTTAAATTAGTAAATCGATTAAAATCACCAGTTTATTGTGAGGATTAAATAAGTGCATCATGTAAATATCCAAGCAGAGTCACATTTGATACAAATTTCCTTTTTTTCCCTCTTTTTCTGGACCCCAGGTACAAATGGGTGAGTTATCCTATTTTTGCTTATGACACATTGTCATTTTCCCATGAAATACATTTAATTATTATTGGTATTTTAGGGGAGAATTTACAGTTTACAAATGGCTTTCTCTGTCTTTCACACACATTTGTGTATATACGTAAATGTGCATGTATGTATACGTGTATGTGTGTGTGTGATGTAGGATAGTACAGCTAATGAAGATTCATATAGAATCGGATTTCAAGGCCTTGTGCTACCACTTAGCTAAAATAATCAAAGAGTAGCTAGATATCCTCCTGAACCCCAGCCATTCCAAGTTACCTGAATGACCTGGAGGGTTGGGACAGTACATAACAGGAACGCTCTGACTCCTATACTCCTCCTTTCTGATGCAGGGGAGCAGAATGAGTGCCACTGATCTCTCCAAATGGGTAAGTCCTCGAATTGAGTAATCCTATCATAAACTTAGTTTTTTGACATCCACATCTGGGGGGGTGGGGAGGGGGCAGATCGCAGAGGTGGAGTTGAGGGAGAGCAGAAAGGCAATGTGGCTCCAGAAGGTTGCCATGGATGCTGGACAACCACTGCTTGTGTAGGAGAATAAGGAAATCTGAGAAAGTCGAGTATTTACCTCCAGATGGAAATCAAACTCGACACGCGGCCGAAGTCCAGGATCCCCACGCTCTGGAGTCACAGAGGGAACTGAAGAACTCTGGATGCCGTGGGCTGATTGCCATACACACTCAATACTTTCAGTGGTCTTATCCTGAGACATCTATATTTGTATTTTAGGGGGGGGGGGCCGCGGTTAGCAACTGTAGTCAGTCTTCTTAACTCTAGACCACGGGAGAGGAGGCGAGTCCTCTGCATTTCTTGTAGAGCGCGCTGCAGGTTGGTGGGGCTGGGTGGGGAGTGTCACATCCAGGTGAAGGTTTGGGGCTTCATGACAGTTTAGACTGGACATTATGTGCAGGACTGCATCTCATGGCTTCTTTCTCCGTCCTCAGCTTTGCCTGCTTAGTGCTTGGACTGCCAGTGAGCAAGGACCCAGAGAAAGACACCTGCGTCTGGGTTATTGACAATGCAGCCCCTGGTGAGTGGGGATCGCCTCTTTCCGCTTACACCCTTGTGCCATCTGACGGGCGGGATTTTCCCATTGGCACGCATATTCCAGGTGCAGTCAGGAAGTATTCAGGGATTCGAGCTCCAGTGAAATCTCCCCAGGACTCTGGGATGGTTCTAATGGGTCAGGAACTCCTCAGTAACTAATAACCTTTCTGCCTCACACTAGTTTACTCTCGCCTCCATTAAGCTTATGTATTTACAGAAAAGAAGAAAGAAGTTTTTTCTCTAACTTAGTCCATATCCTTACCGGGAAATGATTCACTCACTAATCACGCTCTTTGCTATAATGGTCCTTTGTAAAGGGTTGTGATGAAGAGATGAGCCAGGAGGGCAACTCTGTGGTCCAACAGGGAGGTGGGTTCTGACAGTCCAGCGTTACAGTCCTGGTTGGGGTCTTTGGGTGTGAAAGGAGCACGAGAAAAGTTTAGGCCAGAAAGGCATGAAGGGTCACTCGTTCTGTCCAGTTTTAAAGTTTTGATAGAGTGTATTTGTACTTTTGGAAACTTCTTAAAAAGAGAACTAACTTTTCACTATCATTCATGTTCCCAGTCACACATTTTGCCTTACTGTAATTAATTAACGTTTTAAGAAAATATTTCTTAGCTGCAATTAGTGTATAGGGAGTATTATTTCCATAACTGTGGCTATATACTCAGGACGAGGGAGTAGAGTACAATTTAAGATCCTGCAGAAACTTTTTAAGAATTAAATAAACCAAAACCAGTCAAGAGACTTCTGTTATCCTTTAGCAGAAGGACCAGATAGGAGACGGTGATAACTGTGTCTGAGGTCCCAGAGAAGATGGGGATTGGGAGTCCTCGTGGCACAGGAGCGGTCAGGCCAGGACTGTCCCCCAGCACAGCCGTCTCAGAGGTCCCTGGCTTGGCTGCTGAGCCTTCTGACCTTGTCCTTTATTATGAACATCTGCGTCCCATAGAGATGAGCAAGACGACACTATTTTTACCAAGTTCTTTATGAAACCTGTTCATTTTTGAAGAATGCTACAGACGGTTTCAAGGTTCTTGGGACAGTGTAAGGAGTAATAGGCAAATGGCTTACATTTAATACGTTTACTTAGATAGGAAGAACTTCGTACATTAGTTTATCAGGTCTTTCAGTACTCGTAACAGTTTATTAAATGTTTACCTATGGGAATGGCGTCATGGTTTAAAGAGACAGGTCACGGTTATTGTTTGCCTTACAGTGAGTCGGTAAAGTTACTTGAAATTACCAGAAAGTGAGTTTTAGTTATTAATTTTCAAGTGCCACATATCAGAAACCATCATTACCAGTTTTTATTTTAGACTTTGTCTTTATTTTACGTATTTACTTTTGTAAGTAGGCTTCACACCCAGTGTGGGGCTTGAACTCAACAATCCAGAGGTCAAAGAGTCACCTGCTGTACTGACTGAGCCAGCCAGGAGCCCCTAGAAATACCAGTTGTTGTTGTTTTTTTTAAAGTTCCAGGTAATATTATGTCACGCTTCACGTGATACCCCCTTATAAAGAAGTTTTATTGCTTCAGACTGGATGTATCTCTGTGATGAATCTGAAAGGCAGCTGCCCATTCGGTACTGAGAATGAGCTGATGGAACCCCACGTTCGGTTTGATCTTTCGACACACCCGGCGCCTCCGCCCCCTTCCTCAGAGCTGTCAGCTCAACCCTCCTACTCTGGACGCCTGTTGGGAGTGCTCGCTCTAAACCGGAATATCCATGATGTTTCAGGAATCAGTGACATTTGAAGATGTAGCTGTAGACTTCACCCAGGAAGAGTGGGCCCTACTGGACGCATCCCAGCGAAAGCTGTTCAGAGATGTGATGCTGGAAAATATACGTCATCTGGTCTCCCTGGGTGAGTCTGCCAGTACGTGTGTATCTGTATGCATGTATACGTATACAGATGGGTGGGTCAGGAGGTAGTCAGTCCATCCGTCCACAGGAATCTGGAATAGCTTCGACGTAGCCACTCCACACTCTTCCCTGAATCTTTCCTAGACCTTCCTGGAAAAATAAGTTATTTCTTTGTATTTTGCTCCATCTAGTCTGTCACCCCACTAGAATGTAATCTTAGCCACAATTTAATGTCTTTGTTGCTACTCAGTCTCTAACACAAAGAGAACTGGGAACTCAGTATTTCTGAATGTAGAAATAAGCTGATTAAACGTTTTCTAAATAATTATTCTGCTCTAGTCACTGTGGCAAGAGTTGAAAGCAGACTAATGAAAACAATAGAACTTGGTTATTCTTGTAGAGCTTATGTTTGTTGGTGTCTGTTTGAAAATAATATTCAACCCACTCTGGAGATATTCAGCGTGTAATGTGGACTGTTTGCCGTTCTTTGAGCTTGGGCACAGACATCAGCATCCAGAGGTCTTCACTGTTGTGAACACGCTGTCTGGATGTCAGTGTTCTTTTCTATTCAAGTGGTGCCTGGGGTGAACTTCAATGTTGTCCTTGTCCTTCCTCAGTAGCCTGTCCTGGACTTGATGATAATTACTAGCTTCGGGGAAGGAGAGGACTTTTATCAGCACAGAATTCAAAATCCATGTACCTTCTTTCACTGACCAGGGTACCACCATTGCCAGTCAGATATGATTTTCCAGCTGGAGCGGGGAGAAGAGCTGTGGGCTGAAGGAAGCGGATCTCTCCAGAGCCAGGGTCCAGGTGAGCCGCAGGGACCTGTGCTTAGTAGGCGACGTGCCTGCTCAGTAGGGAGCATGTTCCTGGAAGTGCCGGCTGAAGGTCTTGTCCACTGAGGGATGCTTCCTAAAATGCGAGGAAGGACACTGGGCAGAATTCTTCAGTTACCATTATTCCTCGCACGTGACAGGCACGGTTCGTGTTTCCTCCTGCCACCGTCTTTTTTTGGCTTTAGGGAGAGCATATTCGTGTGCTTATCGCAGTTAAATTTTCCCGCAGTAACTCACACTGCCTACCCAACTTCTCTCCCTTAGAATTTTTTTATAATTCAATTTGAAATCTTCACTTGCCAATTACTTAGTATTCCTGGAGTATTCCTTCCCTTGATTTATTTGCCCCCATCAAAGTCCCATGGGTCTTGGTGCTTTTCAACATTTTCATTCCCCTAATGCCATTCGAAATATTTGTGTTTTTTTCAATTGTTTTAGGTGGGGAAAGTGCCCTTAAAGAACAAGACATGATAGCCCCACAGCGTATCAGCAGCAAGGACACATCTACGGTCACGCCAGAGGTGAGTTCCAGGGGTAGTCACCCAGCTCACTCAAAGACCTGGAAATAGGATGTTAGTAATTGAGCACAATAGCCTAATTTACATTAAATTGGGATTAAGCCTTTTTTTTTTGAGCAAAAGGTTTAATGAATCTGAGCTCAAATCCATAACCTGAGATCTTTAAGAAAAGGTTTTTAAACATTGATCAAAAGTTCATAAACACTGATCGTATGCCTAGTCTTTGAAACATGTTAAGGTCTCCAAAATCAGGTAATAAGCTCTGTGGTTGGGATGCTACAAAAGGGAAAATCTTCATGTATGCAGGGGAGTAACCCATCATGTGTACGCAAGTAATACTGAATTTTGATTGGAGACCATCACTGAACGATTTCTATTCCTATAGAGAAGGGAATGTATGGACATAGACAAAGCTTTACCAACCTTCCACCTCTTTCCCCAAAGCAGAAGTCTCCTTCGCCAGAGGATCCCTTTGAATGCAGTGACTTGGAAGAAGATTTCACTCGCAGCTTCATGGTGACTCGGCGTCTGTTGACTCCCACAGAAAAGACCCCCTGTGTCAGTAAACAGTGTCAAAAATCCGTTAGTGAGTCGTACCTTAATCAACACAAGCACCTTCACACTAGAGGTAAATCATGTGAGTGCCATCTGTGTGGGAAAGCCTTTAGCAATTGCTCCAGCCTGAGGAGACACGAGATGACTCACACCGGAGAGAAGCCCTACGAATGCCGTCTCTGTGGGAATGCCTTCATTCAAAGCTCTGACCTTAGAAAACACAATCTGACTCACACTGGAGAGAAACCGTACGAGTGTCACCTGTGTGGGAAAGCCTTCAGCCAGTCCTCCAACCTCAGACAGCACGAGAGAACGCACACGGGGGAGCAACCGTACGAGTGCCACCTCTGTGGGAAAGCCTTCAGTAAATGCTCTGCCCTCAGACGGCACGAGAGAACGCACACTGGGGAGAAACCGTACGAGTGCCACCTCTGTGGGAAAGCCTTCAGTCAGTGTTCTGCCCTGAGACGACACGAGGGCACCCACAACGGAGAGAAAATTAGGAATGCCTTCGGCAAATGTCCTGACCTCACATGACCCGCGTGGCACGACTGTCACGAAGGCGGGCACCACGTCCACCACAGCGGTTAACACTGAAACGCGCCACAGGACTCGCACGTCGTTCGGTCTCACTCGCACAGGCTCTCGCACGCAAACTTCTCTGGGAGAAATCCGCCGTGTGCTGTCCATGCGGCAAGACCTTCGGTCAGTGCTCCGACCACAGGCGACACAAGCGCACTCACTCTGTAAATGCGAGGAAGGGACAGGTTTGCGGCCACGGCACCTCCGCGCGGGAGAAGCCCGAGGTCGGTAATCACCGTGCACACCGCTCAGCGGGCACCGGGCCTGCGCCCAAGAAAGCTCAGTGAGGTCTGAGTAGACGCTCGCCCCAGGTGGAAGAGGGAGAATGCTCTTGAGGAACACCAAAAGTCACACCGTGGTGAAGACTCACGGGAACCCCTTGGCTCACAGAGAAACCCCGTGGCACATGTGAGGACACAGACCCTACAGAGCAGTGTCACCAGCAGAGGAGAATCCAGTGGTCACTCACTTCTTAGCCAACATTAAAGTTCTTACCCTAAGGAGACATCAGTCGTGAAACCAAAGTGGAGGTAACTTCAGCTAGATTTCACATCAGAAAACTAAGTCGGGGGACAAAAACCTCTAAAAGAGCCTTTTGACAGAATTTAGCAAATATTTCAGGATTTTGAGAAAATAACTATTCATGGGGAAAATGTGGCATGTAAGTGCAAAATAGTAAGGTGATCCGGGAATACTGAATGCAGAAGTTTGTAAGAAATTAAATTTTTTCAATAGATTATTACTTGTAAATATTTAAACAATAAACCCTGTTGCTGAAAAATCTAATGTTGGTGAAGTTCTAGTTTTCTCTGTGCGGTTGTAAACGGGCTCCAGCCTGCGCTCCTCGGTACGTGGGTGAGACTCAGCAGGACTCCGTGTCTCCCCCTTTCTCCAGCAGTTTCTTCCACACAGATCAGGTCCGCTCTTTCCAACGTGTCACCGTCAGCTGCCTCCTGCACCCTGGTGGCACACAGCAGGGACGCTCAGCCCGGCCCGGCAGGACCCTACTGGACATTAGTGTAAGCTGCAGGGCTGTCTCCTGCCTGTGCCCCTAGGCGATCACATGGGGCCAGGGAAACAGGCAGTGGTCTTTCCAGACCAACGACATTCCTTGGAGTTTTTCCACGAAGCTTCTTTGGGGGTAGGAGTTCATCCCACAACCATACCTAACATCTGCTCAAGTGAGTCCTGAGTTATGTGCCTACCTGCGCTCCAGAGCCACGGCCGTGCACCCCCAAGCAGTCCTGCAAAGAAAACTAGTACCATAAAATCCCCTAACCTGTCAGACATCACAGAAGACTTTGGCATAAATGTACTCTTCTCCAAACAAAATGAAAGTTCTCACAGGGGCCGTCTCCCCAGCTTAGGTCCCAGGCCCTGGAGATGCTCTGCCCTTCAACAAACCCTAATACTGGACCTAAACCTCAAGGGGGGATGTTCTCTTCCCAAGCTGCCACAATCCTAAAATCTTAGCCTGGGACCAATTAAATGAGCACATCTCTGGGTGGAACTGATCGTTAAAAAAAATTTGAGAGACAGGGAGAGAGGCAGCATGAGTGGGGGAAGAGCAGAGAGAGAGGGAGGGAGACACAGAATCCAAAGCAGGCTCCAGGCTCCGGGCTGTCAGAATAGAACCTGATGTGGGGCTCAAACTCACAAACCATGAGATCGTGACTTGAGCCAAAGTCAGACACCCAACCAGTGGAGCCACCCGGGCGCCCCAGATCATTTTTAAAAATTACCCACCAGTGATTTTACCCTGCAGCCAGGGTGAGTCATGTGTGAGGACAATAAGCAATCAATGTCCAACATCTTGGCACCCAGGCTGGAGAGGCAGGTCTGTGATCAGGCAGGGACACAGGGAGGTATGAAGGGGACCAATTAGTGATTAGAAATTCAGACCCTGGAGACACACCTCATGGGTTTTAATTTCCACTGTCCCAGCCAGTGAGATCTTGTTACTGAACCTGTGACTCATCAGTTCTAAGGCAGAACTAAGCTTACTGCTTTCATCTTCAGACTTACTGAAAAGACTGAGAACTCGGTTCTACATACACCAAGTTGTTATTACAGGTAATAGGTATTTTGTATTTGCCAGTGACACTGCATAAGCAGAGATGTGAATTTACCCCTCCGCCCTATTTTTATATTGAAGTATTTCATAACCATTCTTAAAAATATAAACAGGTGGTATTATATTCATCTGTTTATAACAATATGTACCTTATCCCCATGCTGCAGTTGATTTCTGCTATAATCCTGAGCCCCAACTAAATTTGAGACCATTTCTGGTGGCTCGGCTGGGAATCACACACCCTCTGCCCCTGTGTCTCCAGGAAGGAAGGGATCCTTCCTGGTGCCTCCTGGGGGTGGGGCCTGTGCTAGAGTTGGGACCCCTTCTGAGAGGATCTCATGTTCCAAGGGGCTTTATCTCCACCGACCTATGGGCGGAAGTGTGCTGGGCCGCTGTACTGAGATCAAGGGACTTCAGGGCAGATAACAGAAAATCTATGACTACAAGGTGATGGAGTGACACAACTAGCTTTGTCTGGGTGGCACGTTGACAACTTGCTGTAAGGGGAAGTGCCTCACAAGTTGCCTCCTTCCAGAGGAAAACCGCGTGGGGCCACCACCCAGAAGGGGAGGCTGGCAACAGAGCTCCGGGCGGGGCGGGGGGGAGAGCCATCTTCGCGTCCAGATGAAGTCTCGTTCGCACACGGGGAGTCCCTGGGTCACATCTACGGGGGGCTAGCAGCGCTGAGAGGATTGGACGGTCCACGGTTTACCTTTATGGCTAGTGGCTAGCAGGTGCGATGTCAGTATGCACAGCACGCAGGCTCTGAATGGTTACAAATCTGCTAATCCGAGCTGTTTACAACAACTGGGTGTAAAAATGCGAGTTTGGCACTGGTGGGTTTTTAAGCTCATGGGCCTGGTCTGCTGCAAAGAAGTAAAAAATACGGAGACCATCTTTGGCTCATTTATAAACGAGGTGATAATTTCAACTGATTTTTCTTCGTGTTCACTGGTTATTTCTTTTGCCTGCTCAAATCCAGGGTTGGAGCCTTTCGCCATTGTACTCTTCGGAATTGTGCTCTTCGGCTCCAGAACTTCTATTTGATTCCGTCCTGTAACTTCTGTCTCCTTATTGAAACTCCCAACTTGGTGAAATAACGTTCTTCTGGTTTCCTTCAATCCTTTGAGCCTCACGGAGACACCTGTTCTGAAGCTTCTGTCCAGCACGTGCACGGTCTGTGCTTCCTCAGAGACCGCATCCGTCCGATCTTCTTTTCCCGAGGGTGGGGTATACCTTCTGATTTCTTCACGTGACTCATAATTTTTTGCCGAATACTGGATATTTTGAGTATTAGAAGCGGTCCTCAGAAATCAGATTCTCCTACCGTCCCAGGGTCTGTTGTTATGTCGCTTGGTCAGTGATTTTCTCAACTCTTTGTAACGGCTGTTCGGCGTGTGTGGCCCTGAAGTCTGTTCCGTCAGCTCAGGGGTCACCTCGTGACTTGAGACCGATCTCCTTCAACAACCGCAGCCAAAACACCCCGGTGCGGCGCCAGTCACGGCAGACTGACTGTAGGCGCTCTCCTCCAGGGCTCGGGCAGGACGTCGGCCCTGTCCCACCCTTCCCTGCACCTGCTCCAGTGCTGACGGTGGACTCGCTTGGTGCCCTCACACGTTTTCCCAGCACGTGTCCAACCGCAGGCATCAGCGTGGCCTTCAGATGCCGAGGCGCTCGGCAGGCTTACCTCCCAGCGTCCTCCCTCGGGGACTCCCTGGTCCGCCTGCCTCCCGCCCCTGTGCTCAATCCCTGCAAGTGCAGCTAGTAGATTTCATTGAGATGCTCTTGACATTGCCAGCCAGGAGGGTCCTTCAGCCCCCAGAAAGTTCTAAGGCCGTCGCAAAAGGAGAGCCCGTCCCTCCTGGAGCCCCCAGACGGGTCCGAACGCACAACTACGATTCCCTGAGAACGACGTTTGCGTTGCCCTGGCAACAGAAGGCTGCGTCGGGAACGTGGGCCACTCACGGCTGCCACAAAGCTGGGGAGTGTGGCACAGTAGGTGGGCAAGTTAGAACACCACACTGCTGTTTTACTGAAATCAAATAGCTTTTGTTCTTCACGAAGCATCCCCCCAATGATTTGAACTATCAATACCGCATTCTCCGACTTAATTTTGCAATTTTTGTTTTCCTAGTCCAGTTCTGTTTCCCCTGGCATTTGAAGATTTTAACTTACCTCTACTCTCTAAAAAATCTTACTAACATTAGGTAAATATGTAGAAGGAATGCTATCTGTTGTGTCCAAATTCCGAATAACCAACAATCTATCCTCAAGGATTCAGTTTCATTTTATTACTTCCTGAAGACCCCAACTAACTGCCTTGTGTTTAGAGACAACACACATCATCATGGTATAACATATTTAAATACCCCTACCTTTATTTTCTAGACACACTACAACATAAAAAGTTATTAGTGTGCATTTCTCTGGGGAAAGCTTAATCTATGGCCTATAAGAAAGAATTATGGGAAATACCCTGCTGCCGCGGTTTTGGATTTTTGTTTTTTGTTTTCCCAGGACAAAAATTTAGTAGAACCCTAAACCTACTCCGTATTTTAGTTACCTCCATTTCCAAAACTAGAATACAAACTCCCAGAGGAACTTAACATTGTTTTCTCCTGGTATATTTTACTAACACCCAGCAGGAGAACTCAATTCAAGACTCAGAGCTTTGGCAAGGCTGTTTTCCACATTACACAAATATTCTTGTGGTTAATACCTTTCAAACACTGCTCACGTGTCACTCCATAAAGCCGGTCTTAATTCTATCAGCCCAAGTTAGGTCCTGGACCCCGAGACCTTTCACAATACTTGGCTTTCATGTCTCTAGTACAGGTTTTATTTCAGTGTATCACTTCTCTGGAGATTCTCCTTGAGTGTTCATTTATTCATCAAAACCGTGTACATGAAACATACCAGGCATTGGTCTGAGAGCTCAGGATGCAGAGATGAACACAGAATTATTTCTGACTTCAGAGTCGGGTGGGTGTTATATCCAGATCTTAGCTTGAGAAGCAGCAGTACAAGGCAGAGGTTACAGGAACATATTTAGAACCAGACATTGTCTGAAGACCACGTCTACCACTTAGGAGCTGTGGGGCTTTGAGTAAATCATTTAACCATTTACTAATTGTGGATAACATTTCATAGGCTTTTTTGAGAACAGAATGAGTTAACTCATGTAACGCATTTACAAACATGGCTGGTCTAGAAGAACTCCATGAATACGTATTTTTAAAAATTGAGATGTTTCCTTGGAAAGCTTTCTTAAATGTCTCCACATTGTTCAAAATACCACGCTAATACCATGCTAAAGCAACACATTATGCTAATTATAAATTTCTATGCAACCAATCACTGTAGTATGGTATTCTGAACACACACATTTGATACATGTCACTAATTTGATCGATACCATTAATCTGTGAAGGAAGCACCCTGACTGCATTTGGCTCGATCCCCAATCATGTGTGTTTGTCAAGTAGTCTTCAAACCCATGAGAACATCCCGCCTGCTCACCGATTCCGCACACAAAAAATGGGGACCTTTTGTTTGTACACTGTTTAAAAAGACCACCCTACTTAAATGCACAGAATAAATTTTGCACACAAATAATGAGCTGAGCAGAGCACAGATCCCCCATAACCATGGGGTGTGGGGAGACAGGGTGGTAACGGCTTCCACCCTTTCATACACCTGCCGGAGTTGCTCC